GACGGAGCTCTTCTCCCCCCCGCGAGTATCGCGGGTCCCCCTCTTGTTATGTTTGTTTGTGAGACATCAGGTGGTCAAGTAAGTGTTACAAACTATGTTTGTTACATGTACATAAACATTTCTTCATCAACACCCCCAGGCATATGTTTTTAGACAAGGTCCATGTTAGAAATGTACTCTGAAGATATTAGAAAAATGTTTAGGCCTCATTTAACTTTTCATCTCTCTCTCTTTTTTTAAACAGATCGCAGAGCGTCTTAGAGAATCTAATCTAAACCCTTTTATTTTTGGAGAACATTCTGATTTTTATTTTATTTTTTTGGTTACTGGAAACTTTCTGTGGTTTTCTCAAAAGACTATAGGTTGGATCCTACAGTTCCATTCCACTGTTGGCAGTGCTTTCCTCTTGCACAATTTGCTTTCTCCTAGTAAAGGTTTTTTCCCAGAGCCTCTTGCATCAGGGAAGGCTCTTTGCACTGGGGAGAGGAGAGCACTGCTGTTAGTGGAAAGGTTCTGCAGGATCCAAGCCTATCAGTTATGATTTGATTTGATTTATTAAATTTCTACCCCGCCCTCCTGGCTGTGTGTCTCCTCATCTCTTCCTCTCCACCCCCCTTAATGTGAAGGAAATCAAAATATATAACTTGGTGTCATTGTGTTAGGAGTTTCTCCTGTTCCACCTAATTGGCTGCTGCTTAATGTGAGGACATCAGATCATATGTTTTGCATCACTGAATATTACAGAGGGAGGAAGAGAGATGAGAGTCCCATTGTACTCTTGCTCTTGTCTAAAACAGTAATTCAGAATACACTTATGTACATCATTTCAAAACCACTGTTAACAGATTGTAAATTTTTCAGAACAGCAGTGCATGATATAATCTGCCATATAAACTTTACGAAACACCCTTGTATGTATTCTCAGTTTTACCCATCATTCAACATGGACAACAGATATTCAGTACAATAGAAGACATACCTGTGACTCTGCCCTGCAAAGCTAGTGGAGTTCCAAAGCCAACTATAGTTTGGTCAAAGGTAACTATGACATTTTGAGCTATTTATACTGAAAGATCAGTTGAATGTGATGTTCAGCAAGAACCAAAAATCAAATAATCCATTACAACAAATGGGTTTATTACAAAAAAACTCATTGTGACCACTCATTGTTGAAGAAAAGAGCTTTAACATTTTGTTTTAATTCTGTAGTGCAGCAGCATGAAATAGCCAGAATAAACATTATAAAATGAGCAACTTGGCCCTGAACTTCAGCCTCACTGATTCAAATAGGAATACATCCCCCACCAGTTAATGTACTAACAAGTATTGTTGATAATGCTCTCTTCTGGATACTCCATGAGGCATTTGGCTCAGTTATTTGTTGAAGGAATTTGTATGCTGCTTCTCTAGAGACCTGGTTACTACCTGTGGGAAGACAGAATGCTGACGTGCATTCTGGTTACTACCTGTGGGAAGACAGAATGCTGACGTAGCCTGTTCTTAGATTGTTATTCCATATGAGCAGGTTCATCATGTTAGTATTTTCATGTTCTTCACAGAGAGGAGAGATGATTCCTCCCAGCAATCCTAAATTTTCTGCAGGTTCTGATGGGAGTCTGTATGTAGTTTCTCCTGGAGGAGAAGAGTCTGGCGAATATATCTGTACTGCAACTAACGCAGCTGGCTATGCGACACGGAAAGTCCAGTTGACTGTCTATGGTAAGGAAAAACTAGAGCCCAATGTACATAAATCTCTAGGGCATTGCCATACAAGGCAGCCAGCAAAAATACAGAAGCACCTCATTATAGAGATACTTCTTGTGGCTGGTTTGAGATGCCATTGTTGTTTTGAAACGACAGTAATTCTACAGTCTCCCATGGACTGCTAGTCTCTGTCTTTTAGCTACACCTACTAGGATAACTCTCTTTAAGATCTGAATGGTGGGTGACCAATCAGTGGCCTAATCCAGAGAGCCAAACAGTCACCTAGGGTGGAGGTGCCATTTTATACCTTTAAATGCAAAACAGGATCCTGTAGAAGATCTGAATGTGGGGCAATTTCATGCTTCAATTTAAATGTACTGAGATATTTGTTAACTGACAGCTAAATATTCTCTCCTGATATTCTAGTCCATAATGAAAGCCAGAGCGATCTGGTGGATAATAGACTAATGAGCTTGGACCTGATGTACTGAGATATTTGTTAACTGTCAGCTAAATATTCTCTCCTGATATACTAGTCCATAATGAAAGCCAGAGCGATCCGGTGGATAATAGACTAATGAGCTTGGACCTGGGAGGTCAGAGTTCAAATCCATCCCTAGGAATTGGACTCACTGGGGTGGACTTGAGAAAAAGTTAGCTGTTGGCCCCAGTTTCAGTGTCTGGCTTTACAAGTATTTCTGGCAAAGTCTTAGGAATGTTGAATTAAGCAGACTCTGAATACGCTCTTCGTTAATCTGCAATAAAGCATTGTTGTACATACTAGTACACAGGGCTATTTTTGGGCAGGAACGCACAGGAACGGAGTTCTGGCTGGCTTCCAAGTTGGCCACACCCAGCAGGAACTCATTAGCATAATAGGCCACACCCAACAGCAGAAACTCATTAGGATTGGCTACATTAGGGGTATGTGGCCTAACATGCAAAGGAGTTCTTGCTACAAAAAAGCCCTGGGTTTTGGCAACAAACAAGGTAAACAGAATAAGAAGCAAAAGGTGGGTGTGGCTGGATGAGCACACTTCTGGCAACATGAGGGTGCGGCCTAATATGCCAATGAGCTGTGCTGTCAGGGGTGTGGCCTAATATGCTAATGAATTTCTGCTGTTGGGTGTGGTCTATTATGCTAATGAGTTCCTGCTGGGCTTTTTCCACAAAAAAAGCCCTGCTAGTACATTTTGATGTGCTGATTGTGCATATATAAGTGTTACATTACACCTACACGTGCACACACACACATTCTGATACCATATGTTTCATCCTAGTGAGACCCAGGGTGTCTAGGCCTGGAGATCAGCAAGGAGGTTCACTGGACAACCCGCTTGAGCTTTCGGTGATAGCAGGGGAAGATGTTACACTTCCGTGCGAAGTGAAGAGTCTGCCACCCCCTATAGTAACCTGGGCTAAGGAAACACAGCTTATCTCTCCTTTTTCTCCAAGGTAACAGCCCTTCCATTTTTATTTTTTTTGTCTTGTTTATGTGAATTGAGGCCGCAAGCCACTCTTCTCTCTATAACATACCACTTCCTTGTCAGAACATAACATGCAACTTCCTTGTTCTTTTCCATGAGACAGATGTAACAACCTCTTTATATTGGAGGCTATTTGTGACAGAAATTCCCCTTGATGGGTTTTAAACTAACATGACCCAGTCTTTATTTTGATGGCTATATTAATGTGAGTTTCTTACTGTGAGAAATAATGAATTATTTGTAGATGTGACCGAGGTGCAGGAGGCAGGATAACAAATGAACGAATGGATTGATTTACTTCATTAGCATGGTTTAGTGCTTATATTTAACAGAATTTGCTGTTTGGATGTTATAGCAATTAAGTAGCCTCACTGTTTTCTGCTGAGGCAAACTTGTTCTTTTTTAGAGAATTACTGTTCCAGGGGTTTTTACATACAAATTAAGCCAACTCTTTTCAGAGCTTAAATAAACTGCTTCCCCTACTGCTTCTTCCAATTGCCAGAGAACCATGAAAAATGGGAAAAAACCAGTCCTCTAAGCCTTAAAACAGCGGTAACCTGGAATGCCAGATACCATTAAGGCTGACCAGATATACATGAAAATACCAATAAAGCAGGGTTGCCATGTCACCCCTAACCCTGGCAGGGGATGGGGGGGGGAGTAGAGTTGCCGGATCCAATTTGAGAAACTCCTAGAGATTTGGGGTGGAGCCTGGGGAAGACAGGAACCTCAGTGCCATAAAGTCCACCCTCCAAAGTATCCATTTTCTCCAGAGGAACTGAACTCTGTAATTCCAAAATGTGTGTGTGTGACTGGAAGTATCTGGGTACACATCTCTCGTGTGGGTTTCTTTTGTTTGTGTTGATGAAATGACAGACTGTATTTAATGACAAACTGTAGTTAATTTTCAAACCATACCCAAAGGGAGAATGGGAAAGAGAGAAATGAGCAAATCCATGATTCTCCCAGGCTCATTCATATAACTTAGGTTTGTTGCTGTGTCTGAACTACGCCAATGACGGTTCAGTTTCTTGAGTCAGTTTGCTGAAATCCTTCAGTTGAAGCAAATTAATCCTGATACTTTGATTAAGATCTTCCAGATCCTGCTATGTTTTGTACATTGCTGGACGATAAAGTACAATGAAGCAGTGTCTGTTGTTCTGCACAATCCACTCTGTATGAACTAGAACATTTAATAGAATGTAATAATGCCCCTTTTCCTTTTTAAAAATGTGTAATGCTGATGTATTAGTAATGCTATGTACACTATTCTAGTGTGTGGTTACAAGGGAAAAAATAAGTTTTAAGTTTCAAACTTCCTCACAAAGCTTCATTACTCAGAATCAGCTAGCTTTACAGAACATTTAATATGGCAACAAAAAATTCCAAGTTTCTTTTGTAGTTAATTATTTCCCCATAATTAAGCACTGGAAGGTACACTGGTGGACCTCCTGATGGCACTGGTATTTCTGGCCACTGTGTGACACAGAGTGTTGGACGGGATGGGCCTTTGGCCTGATCCAACATTGGCGTCTCTTATGTTCTTATAAGAAGGCAATTGAGATGCAACTTCTCTTACACGTGTGCACAATTACCAGAACTGTTTTCTCTGCCCCATGCTGCTGTATCTTGAATTAGATTGGATTATGTAAAGAAGGGATGTACCCTTGAAATTCCCTGTAACTAAACAATGAGTTGCAGATTAATCTGTATCACCTCTACTGGCCCCTTTTAACAGGCCGTCTTGTGGTCTTGTTTGCTCCTAACAAAGATACAGATCACAGAATCGTCATTCGGTGTAACTGTACTGTTGGAGGGTTGGATCCAGACTAAATTGGCAATTGCTACCAGTTCCTGCTTCCTGCTGCAGACATCCTCCTTATGTTGTTCCTCAGGGTCCCCCAAGCCCCAGGAGCAGCATATCATGGAGAGAAGTGGGCTCCACTGGCTTGGAGGAAGTGGAGGCAGGAAAATTCAGTTCTGCTGTTGCAAGATTGAGTCTGGATTTGATCCCAAGATGGCAGGTTGGAGATGCCATCTTTGAATGCTCCTTATCCCAAACAGTGTAACTAGGGTGAAGAAACTGGGAAGCCTTTCCTAGAGGCAACCTGCAAAAAGGTACCCCTTGTACAATAAAGACAATATAGTCTACAATCTAGGATCTACAAGGAACTTGCAAGCAGGGGCATCCCATTACCATCTTATTTTCTTCCTTCCCTCTCTTCTACCTATTCTCTCACTTTCTTTCTCCATCTGTCTCCCTCCCTCAATGCCTCCTGTCTTTCTCTCTCTCTGTCTTTCTTTCTCTCTGGAGAGGTAGCAACAGGGATGGTGGTGGCAGCAACAATGATGGTTCGTCCCCCGCCTCCTTGCAGTGCTGCTGCTGGAGACGAAGCAACAGTGGGCCCAGTCACAATTCCCCCCCCCCCCAGCACTGCCACTGTAGAGGCTGCAATGGTGGGCCCGACAGTGGTGGCAGTGACACCAACAACAATGCTCATTCTTCCTCCTTCCCTTCCAGCATCATTGCCTCTGGAGTGGAAACGACAATGGGGGTAGGGTTGCCAGTTCTGGGTTGGAAAATACCTGGAGACTTTGGGGGTGGATCCAGGAGAGGGTGGGGTATGGGGAGGGGCCTCCGCATAGTACAATGCCATAGAGTCCACCCTTCAAAGCAGCCATTTTCTCCAGGGGGGCTGATCTCTGACAGCTGGAGATCATTTGTAAAAGTGGGAGATCCCCAGGCCCCACCTGGAAGCTATTGTAACAACCAAAGCTGCAGTGTTAAGAGAGTCAATTAAGGAATAAATATACACTGCAAGAAACTTTTGTAAATGAACGTGTTCTCTTTATAACTATCATTCTATAAAGTGCATTGTGTGCTATTATAACATCCTTGTCAGGTACATATATTCAGTACATTAGGTATAACAATAACATTCAGTTCATACAATTTCACAACTACCAGTCAATATTGCATCAGTATTTTAAAAGACAAGCCCCAACGGGAGTTTACAGAATTACAAGCCCACTTCTACTTGCATGAAGTCTTCAAAAAAAGGGGGGGGGAAAGGTTTCATTTATAGTTGTGTTGATGCTTATTGCCGGTCCTACAAAAGACGCATTGTGCAGCTAAGTTTCATGGACGGAGCGCTCCTGTCATTCTCAAAGCTGCATAGCATTGACCTTGTTTTCTGGTCAATACAACTGGTAGTTGTACCTGACAAGAATGTTATAATAGCACACAATGCACTTTATAGAATGATAGTTATAAACAGAACACGTTAATTTACAAAAGTTTCTTGCAGTGTATATTTATTCGTTACTTGACCCACCTGGAAGCTGGCAACCCTAAGTGGGGGTGGTTCACCCCCATGCAGTGCCACTGCCTTGGCAGCAATGACAGGGCTAGCGGTGGGGGTTCCTCCTCCTCCTCCCCAATCTGTGGCGCTGCTGTCAGATTTCCAGCATACAGAGTTGCTGGTGATGAGAGTCAGTGATGGCAGGGCAGGTGGTATCACTGGCAGTTCAGCACACGTGTAGATAAATGTTGTCTCTTTTGAGTTGTTTTGGCACACACACACCCTTTTTAAAGGCTCCCCGAAGTTTGGAGAAAAATCTTTCTTCTGTCCATGTGGCACCATTCTATGTATTTAAGTATCTGCAAATGGGGACACAATTGACTATGAGAATACATAATTAAAATTATTAAAACATTTCTCTTCAGATAAGAATAGTTAGTCATGCTTTTAAGATGGTAGCTAAAAAGCCAAATGTCAGCCTGCTTAGAAGCTTATAGTGCAATCCTAAACCGAGTTACATGCTTCTAAGTCGATTGAATAGGGCCGAGAGGTGCATATCTCTGCATAGGCTCGCCCTGTTACTAAAGGCACCAGGCCAAGTTATACGGCAGTGTTGCAAGTTCTCATTGAGCCTGGGCCTGCATCCTAGCAGCGCAATCTTAAGAAGAGTGCAATCTTAAACCCTACTGAGCAGAATTGTGTGCAGACCTGCTTAGAATTGTTTTTCCAGCCACTTTCAAGTCCTGATAATTGCTTGTGGGAGGAGGAGGAGGAGGAGAGACATCAGAGACAGTGGCAGTTCAGCACACGTGCAGATAAGTGTTGTCTCTTTTGAGTTGTTTTGGCGCACCCCCCCCCTTTTTAAAGGTTCCCCGAAGTTTGGAGAAAAATCTTTCTTCTGTCCATGTGGCACCATTCTATGTATTTAAGTATCTGCAAATGGGGACACAATTGACTATGAGAATACATAATTAAAATTATTAAAACATGTCTCTTCAGATAAGAATAGTTAGTCATGCTTTTAAGATGGTAGCTGAAAAGCCAAATGTCAGCCTGCTTGGAAGCTTATAGTGCAATCCTAAACCGAGTTACATGCTTCTAAGTCGATTGAATAGGGCCGAGAGGTGCATATCTCTGCATAGGCTCGCCCTGTTACTAAAGGCACCAGGCCAAGTTATACGGCAGTGTTGCAAGTTCTCATTGAGCCTGGGCCTGCATCCTAGCAGTGCAATCTTAAGAAGAGAGCAATCTTAAGCCCTACTGAGCAGAATTCTGTGCAGACCTGCTTAGAATTGCTTTTCCAGCCACTTTCAAGTCCTGAGAATTGCTTGTGGGAGGAGGAGGAGGAGAGACATCAGAGACACGATTCTCTCTAGATTTTACCTGTCACTCCCCCATGGGGTTGGTCTATGAGTAACTCCTCCTTTGGAGCAGTCTGGCTTAGAAATGACTATCTGTGTTAGTGGTCCCAGAGGAAGAAAGAAAATGTCCCAGTATTAGTATGTCACAGAAAATCGTAGGCTAATATGCTCAAGGAGGTATTTTGTGTGTGTGTGTGAGGGAGAGTATTCAGATTTTGAATCCCCACTTGCGGCCTGATGTGGTACAGACCAGCAACAGATGCATTCTGTGCAGCTGCTTGTTGTATCAGTTGGCTCTTAGTCTACTGCCATGATTCGCTTTAGTTTCTCAGTCCTTCCCAGCTCTCATTCCTGTCTCGGCTTTGTCTGTCTGCTGTTTGTCTTGGCTTCACTCTCTTGCCCCTTTGTCTTATCATGATGTTCCTCACCTGACTCAGATTATAGGTCTCGGACATGGTGTCAAAATATGCTGTACACAGGAAGAGATCTAACCCTGCTTAGCCATTCTTCTTAAACTTGTCTTTTCATGACAATATAGCTAGCAGTGCTGCTGATCAAACGCTCCTTCTTTGTTTAAAAGGCTTGATTACAACGGCTCTGATCTTGAGGATCCTTCTTTTCATAAAGCACCGCATTGAATAGATGCCAACCATGAAATGCTTGTGTCAAGATGCAATACTTAGATCTTAAACTTTACAGATCTTTCAAAATGTGGCATCTTCTGGTTTTTGGACAGCTCATCTGGATTTTTAGCCATGTTGATTTTTAGCCATCTTGGAATATCATTGCCACATAGAGAAACCATACACAAATTGGGGTTGGTTTGGGTATTTTTGCATGCTATTTAAACTGCTCAAAAAGCAGCAGTTTCATTGGCCCGTTCTGCATCTAGCATTCGCTCCGCTGTTTTACCAAACCCACGTTGGAACAGGAATTCCTCTCTGAATTGCATGCCACTTTCACTTTCTTTGATTGTCAGATATTGTTGAACCCTCCACACTGCATGCTGGTTCTCTGAATTGCATGCCACTTTCACTTTCTTTGATTGTCAGATATTGTTGAACCCTCCACACTGCATGCTGGTTTCACTTCCTTTGATCTCTCAGTTTTATGGTACTGTCTGCATAGATTTATGGCCGTTTTATGGCCATTCAGGGGTGATTCTGCAATCAGTATCATGTTGGCCTGGGGTATTTGAGTGTGGTTTTGAGCGGCATCTTTTTTTGTTCCAGTGTGGGTTTGATAAAACAATGGGGCAAATGCTAGATGCAGAATGGGCCATTGTTGCATATAATGGCAACTCACATGGGTCCTCTCTGGACATAATAGGATGACCTGCAAACTATGGTTTACAGTACCGTGGGCTCAGATGCCTCCACCCCATAATAATTAACCTGTCTCTTCCATATTTTGTTTTGGATTTATGCTGGTTTAATGTTATAGTGGCATCAGTGCCAATTAGGTTAAAACTTTGAGCGTATTTTATTGAGTGTTAAAACTAATGAGGATTCCCTTGGGCTTACCATCCACATCGCCAAGTCATTTGTGGAGAACCTTGGTTGGGATGCAGATGGAGGTGCCTAAACAGCAAGAAAAGCAGTGCTAGGGTTACTACTACCCAGTTATTTCTTCCCATGTGTACCTCCTTGAACAGAGGAGTTCCTGCTTTCTCAGGCATTCATGTATACCCTGATTTTCCACCAGTATGTCCACAGAGTGGCTATGACAATATAGCTGAAGTACAGTAAATGTTCTGCTTCAAACTAGAACTCTGGCAAAATCAGTGACCTACAGACCCAAAAGCCTGACAAAAATATTTTTGCTACCTCCCATGAAGGGCCACTATAATAGATCTGATGGTTTTCCTTCAGGATGGAGTTCTGCAGACATGGGGCTGCAATCAAAAAACATTATTTTGAGCGCAATTCAGGTTTGCCTCTGATGGCGCTAGCACTCAACAATATCCTCATTCCTTGATCTCCACACAACATCCTTCGCATGGGAACATATCAGGGGTGCGGGCAGGCACTCCCTCAAAAAGGCAGGCATGGGAAGATCCAACTTTTTAGTAATTAGATCTGTTGGATGACGTATTTCAGGGAACTCTTTGGTCATTCCGAATCTCTCACTTTATTATTGAGCTATAGAAAATGAAAGATTTGGACAGATTGCAGGCAACGTTAAATAGAAACAAAACAAAACAACCCAATCTGAATAAAAATAATCCTGAACAGATGCTGTTTAGCATGTGGTATCCATTACTAATGTCTGTGTAATGCTCATTCTCATGGTAAATGTTTATATAGCCATATCTGTTTCCTATTTTTTCAGACACACCTACCTCCCCTCAGGGTCAATGAAGATAATCAAGACTCGGGTTACAGACAGAGGCATGTATACTTGTGTAGCCACAAACATCGCTGGGAATGCGACTCAGTCAGTGAAACTAAATGTACATGGTAGGTGAGCTGTTTTAAGCTGCCATAAGAGTCATTTCTGGATTGTGAGGGAATAATCTACGAACAGAGTGGTACCCTTCAGGTTGGGAATATCAGTCTCTCTGTTCAGCAGATGCCCAGATGCCACACCAATATTTGGTCATTGGAAAAACTGCCAGTTTTGAGATGGAAGTGAGACTGGAAGTAGGGCTGATCCATAACCCATTAAAAATAATCCATTGCTATCCAACCCCAAAGGGTCACTTTAGATCTTCCTTACCAAAATAGACTTGCTGTTTGAAAAGCAGGCCGGCACAGTGGCCAAGAGTGCCTTTTATCAGCTGAATCTAGTTTGACAACTCTACTTTCTTAGACTCAATTTGGCTGTGCTGATCCATGCTTCTGTAACCTCACATTTGGATTACTGTAACACGCTCTATGTTGGGCTGTCCTTGAAGACAACCCAGAATCTGTACCTGGTCCAGAATGTGGCAGCCTCATTATTGTCATGGGTTAGCTGATGGGAACATACGTAGCCCGTTTGGAAACTGCTATGTTGTTTGCCAGTCTGTTTTTGAATTCAATTCGAGGTATTGGCTTATTCATTTTTATTTACTTTACTTATATCCCACCTTTCTTGTCAGCAGGGACCCAAAGCAACTTACATCATTCTCCTCTTCTCCATTTTATCCTCACAACAATGCTGTGAGGTAGGTTAGGATGATAGTGTGTGAGTGGCCCATGGTCACCCAGCACACTTCCATGACAGAGTGGGAATCTGAACCTGGGTTTCCCAGAGCCTAGTCCACTGTTTTAGCCAGTTTGGTGTAGTAGTTAAGAGCGCGGACTCTAATCTGGGAGAACCAGGTTTGATTCCCAACTCCTCCACATGTAGCTGCTGATGTGATCTTGGGTCAGTCACAGTGCTCACAGAGCTGTTCTCTGATAGTGTGTGAGTGGCCCGTGGTCACCCAGCACGCTTCCATGACAAAGTGGGAATCTGAACCTGGGTTTCCCAGAGCCTAGTCCACTGTTTTAGCCTGTTTGGTGTAGTAGTTAAGAGCGCGGACTCTAATCTGGGAGAACCAGGTTTGATTCCTGACTCCTCCACATGTAGCTGCTGATGTGATCTTGGGTCAGTCACAGTGCTCACAGAGCTGTTCTCTCAAGAGCAGTTCTCTCAGAGCTCTCTCAGCTCCACTTACCTCACAGGGTGTCTGTTGTGGGGAAAGGAAGGGAAGGAGATTGTAAGCCGCTCTGAGACTCCAAGTGAAGGGCGGGGTATAAATCAAACTCCTCCTCCACACTGATCTTTAAAGCCGTTGCCCTTCACGGACTGGGCCCACATAACTGAAGGACCTTTTTCCTCCCATATTTTATTTATCTATTCAATAAAACATTTATATCCTGCCTTTCCTTGGGGTTCAAGGCTGCTTACAATAACAGTTCCTGTATAACAAGTAGAGTCTTAAGGCTGACATCTACTGGCTGTTATCTCACTTAGGGTGGCCATTCAGGGATAAACCAGAGTATGAACCATGAACCTTTTGCATCTCAGCCCCCACTCTGGGAAATGGGCTCCCTGAGGAGGTGGAGGGAGACCCTTTACTGATGATCTTCTTACGGCACCCTCAAAGCTTGTTGGCTTGTCAGGACGTTTGATGGGATATGTACACATTTTTAGGTGCAGGGGGAAGTATTTGGTCTTTTTATTTTATTTGGCCTTAATTTTTAATGTTTTAATTATTATTTGTAAGCCTTCTTGAACCAAAGAAGAAAGGTGGGGTATAAACAGGGGTCATTTTGTAGAAAAAGAGGTGCAGGAGCTCATTAGCATAACTTATTAGCATAACTCATTAGCATATGCCACACCCCCTGACATCACCGGAAGTGTGTCAGAAGGCAACACCCACTGCTCAGGCTCCACTGGACTGTTTTGGATTGCTAGCTATT